CCCTCACTGGGGAATTCTAGGCAGTGTCTATACCACTGAGCCACACCCCAAACCCCTCACTGGGGGATTCTAGGCAGGGGCTCTACCACTGAGCCACACCCCCAGCCCCTCACTGGTTAGTTGTAAGCAAGCACTCTACCAACAGAGCCACACTCCCAGTCACTGGTTTCTCTAAGTTGATTCAGGCTGAGTTTGAACTTGTCTAAGCCATCCTTGGACTGGGGCTTCTACTGCCTCGGCCTCTTGAGGCTTAGGATTGCCTCCCTTCACCATGCCCTGCTAAATTCGGTTTTTATCTAAATGTTTGTTTAGAGCCTTGGGGGTGGGAGCCTGACGTGGCTATATTGAAGCCATAGCCTCCCTCTTCTTTTTTTTTTTTTTTTTTTTTTTTTGGTTTTTCGAGACAGGGTTTCTCTGTATTGTTTTCGAGGCTGTCGGTCCAGCCTGGCCTCGAACTCACAGAGATCCGCCTGCCTCTGCCTCCCCAGTGCTGGGATTAAAGGCGTGCGCCACCACCGCCCGGCTCCTCCCTCTTCTTAAGCGCCCCACGCTGCGGATGCATCAGAAGCGATGGTGCTGCTGTCAGTGGTCCTGAAGTGTGGCATTTGGGGCATGCACCATACTCCAGCCAGGACACCTGGTTTCTGACTTTGGCTTACCCAAAGCTTTATTCCACAAACACACGGAAAAGCCGCCCTCCCCGTATGAGAACAGGGCCGCTGGCAGCGGGCAGAGCCCCTTGTATTTCCTTCGTGACAGTTCTGCGTCCTCGGAAGTAGCCGTGTGGGAACCAGGTTCACCGTCACCTAACGAGCTGCCCTGAGTTTCGCGGTTGGGATTGGACGGCTCTGGGCACACTCACGGCTCCACCCGAGATCGGTCCTCTTACCTGTTACTCACTGCAAGATAAAATTGATTTTCCTAGGGGGCCGTTGCACCCAGCTTGGCTTGGTGGGCAAAATATGTTTGGGGTTGTATCCAGGAGGGGGTCCCCCTTACCCTGCGCCCTTGATGCCCCAGGACCGGCCTTCTGTTGAAACTCCCTGGTGGCTGGGAGGCAGGGTGCACAAGACAAGGTCGTGTCCCCCCCTGCACAGGCGGAAGGGGACAGGGCCCGCAGCCCCAGCAGCCGCAGCCTGACTTGGCTGAGTGATGGGGGAGCCTTCGTAAGCGGCTCTGTCAGCCCCACTCCTGGCCAAATTTAGCGCGACTCCTTTGCTCCAGCAGAGAAATGTGGATAGGCGCCGTCGCCGTCACACCTTGACAGGTTGACAGGAGTGACAACCAGAGTAAATCCCCGTATCTGAGGCTCTGAGGGGAAGAGGTGATTTAGCAGAACCCGCTGCTGCCGTCCGTCGCCAGAAGAAAATAATTAAGGAACGCCGGCCGCCGCCGAGGTGGAGAGGGAACCTGGGGCGGGCGGCTGCGGCAGGCGGGTCCCTTCTGGTGAAGGGATCTGTCATTGTAGGCAGCAGGAGGGGACCCCACACGCCAAAGAGAAATGAGCTCTGGAAGCTTGTGCTGAAGACGGAAGATGGGGTGAGGAGGGGAGGCTGGGGAGGCTGGAATGGGCTCAGGGGACACTGGGCGGGGCTTTGCTCACCCCACTTCTGCACAGAGCCCCACCCCCCGCCGCCCCGCCACCAGGAAGGCTTGTTTGGACGCTTTCTTATGTGTATATGTGTGCTCGCACACACCCAGGACGGTGGACCTTTGTCTCAAAAGGGCATCGCTGGTACCCAACCCAGCAGAAGAAAGTGAGCGCGCCCAGGTCCGCCTCTGCTGCCCTCTGTTAGTGACCCCCACGGGCTCATGATTCGAAAGCTTGGCCCCCAGCCTGTAGTACAGTTTGGGGGGCCATGGTGCTTTTAGGAGGTGGGGTCTGGCAGGGAGGAGTGGGTCACCAAGGGTAGAGCTTTGAGTCTGTACCGACTCCTGTGGGAGGAGTCTGCCTGATGCTCCTGTTACCATGACTACCATCTGCCTCCCCTTCCCATGGCGGACTGAAACCTCTGAGCCCGTGCACCAAAGTAAAGACGTCCCCCTCGTTTCTGCCAAGCGCCCGGTCACAGCAGTGAGCAAGTTCCCGATACTTTACCCCTCTTGGGAGTTGAAGAAGATTCCAGAAACTATGTGTGGTAGCCCACGCCTACAGGCCTGGCAGGGAGGGAGAAGCAGGAGGACTGTGCATGTGAGGCCAGCTTGGTGTAAAAGTGAAACCCTGGGCCGGGCGGTGGTGGCGCACCCTTTAATCCCAGCACTCGGGAGGCAGAGGCAGGCGGATCTCTGTGAGTTCAAGGCCGGGCTGGACCGATAGCCTCTAAAACAATACAGAGAGACCCTGTCTCATAAAAACCAAAAAAAAAATAAAAATAAAGTGAAACCCTGTCTTGGAAAGGAAGGTTCTGGAGTCTGGGGAACTGGCTGTGGTCATTAGTTCAGTGCCTGTCGTTGCAAACTTAAGGACTGGAGTTCTGCTCATGAGCATGGTGGTGCCGGGACGCGGGGTCCCAAGGGCTCATTGGCTCAAGTGGTGAGCATCAGAGTCAGTGGGAGACGCCCCCCAGTGATGGAGGAAGACATGTGCATGCGTGTGCACGCACACACACACACACACACACACAAGGGCTCACTGGCTGAAGTGATGAGCATCAGAGTCAGTGGGAGACGCCCCCCAGTGATGCAGAAAGACATGTGCGTGTGTGTGCACACACACACACATACACACACATGGGTGCTCGCACGCACGCGCGTGCACACACACGTGCAGACACACACAAAGGCAATCACACACACATAGAAAAGATAAAGTAGAGAATGGTTGAGGAAAAGACCAGATGTATGGACATGCCCACACACAGTGATGGTTCCAGAGGACTCAGGGCATTTAGGCTTCCGTCCCAGAAGGAGGCTTTGCCGGTCCCCCTTGCTTGCTGATGAATGAAGGGTTCGTGTGGCGCAGCCCCAGACTGGGCACCGTGAGGTCCAGGTCGCAGCCCTGAAGCCAAGAAAGGAACTGAACCCCTTGGAGAGTCTGGGTCAGTGAGAATCTGGCTGTCCTTTTGCCTGCTTAAAATAGCCACTGTCGGGGCTGGAGAGATGGCTCAGCGGTTCAGAGCCCTGACTGTTCTTCCAGAGGTCCTGAGTTCAATTCCCGGCAACCACATGGTGGCTCACAACCACCTTGAATGAGACCTGGCGCCCTCTGCTGGCCCGTAGGCAGAAGGCTGTATACACAATAAATAAATAAATAAATAAATAAATAAATAAATAATAAAAAATAGCCACTGTCCTCTCCCCAATACACAGAGACATCGGGGGACTGCTGGCTTACCAGAACCGCCCCTTCTCCGTCAGGAGCCGGTCGGGTAAGCTGGGCACAGTGCCCCCGAAAATGCTGGCCCTCACTCTGGCTCTCTGCTGTGTGAGGGGCAGCTGTTCCTCTGATTGCAACCAGAATTCAGCAAAGTTTCAGAGCACGAATGCCCACTCGGGGCTCAGGATCAGAGTCCCTGACTGTTGAGGATCCCTCAACAGAAAATCCGCCTTCCCAACCAGCTGCCCCCAATACACCAAATGATCTGAAGCGGAGTTCAGTTCCCAGTCCTGGCCAAAGGTTCACGTTCCTAGACCATGTTGTCTTGGGTGGCCCCTGCCCAGCCCAACGGGACCTCTCCGGTGGGCAGAGGGGACATTCCAGAACTTGACCAATGCCGTGGCTTGGATAGGAAGTGCCCCGCTAAAAGGCTTGACTGTGAGAGGTCCTTCACACCCTTGGGTGTTTGAGCACTTGGCCACCTGGTGGCGCTGTTTGGGGGCTGTGGAACCTTTAGGACGCACGGCATAGATTATAGTTATAGTATTATAGGGGCTGGCTAGAGGTCTGTACCCAGCCTCCTTGGCTGGGGTCTGAGATCTTTGGTTTCCGGTCGGCTGAGATAAAACAGTTCACTTCCCGATTCCAGACAGGAGCCAAGCCACCCGCCATGCAAATGTGAGCCGGAACTAAATCCTTCTATATTTTGTCTCAGTAACAGCAGAAGTACTTATTAGTACAAGGTTCATGTGTCAGAGGCTTGGTCCCCAGCTCTTGGCCTTCCTTAGGGAGTCCTGAGAGCTTTAGGCGGTGAGACCTAGCTTGAAGGAGTGAGTCGCTGGAAGCAGGTCTTTGGAGGTACTCTGTCCCAGGCCTTTTCCTGGGCTGCTCTCTGTTTCCAGGTCATCTGTGAGATGAGAAACTCCCCCTCTACCCCGTGCTTCCAACAAGCACATGAGGCCAAGAAACCATGCACTGGTCCCTCTAAAACAGTGGCCCTCAAAAACTCGTACCTGTTTTGCATTTTTTGCTTGTTTTTACATCCATTCATTTTAATTTTCCGTATACCTGTGTTTGCTGTATGTGTGCAGTGCCCGTAGAGGCCACAAGAGGGCGTTTGAATCTCTGGACCTGGCTTTACAGATGGTTCTCGGTTGGTGTGTAGTGCTGGGAATTGGACCCAGGTCCTCTGGGAGGGCGCGTTTCCTCTCTTACTTGGCATTTTGTCACGGCAACCAGGAAAGTAAGTGACACGGTCAGTGACATACAGATCCGCTCTCCATCCTCCCCGCATCGCCAGTCAGCACGCACCCATGCCTCAGCTCTGCTCACACCTTTAGGGGACACCAGGATGAGCCAGGCGTGGACGGACATCATCCCCCTGGCTGTCCCAAGAAGGCCGAAGCTATGCTGGGAATGCCAAGGCAAGGGAACCTCCCGGGAGTCCTGGAGGGCTTTTCTTCCGAGGGCTTGGTCCCTGCAAAGTATTGTTGCACTCAAGAGTGGAGCCGGGTGAGGTGGACAGGCGCCGAGAGGGGCTGGACGGAGCCTTCGGTTCAGTTACTTTGAAACTCAATGACGGGGTGGGGTGGAGGGTGGCCTGAGGGAGTCCTGCCTGTTGGGCTGGGCAGGTACGGGGTGACTTCCGCTGCTCAGCAAATCTCTCCCCTCTCTTGCTTTCCAGGCATGAAGCTCAGCATCAGACCCCAGCATGTAAGTTCCAATAACACCCCAAAAAAGCAGCAGGTGCCTGGGGGAAAGCGGGAGAGGAAAAAAAAAGCCAACCCCGGGGACTGATGGTGAACCCGTTCCTAAGGAGACAAACGTTCAGGGTTCTTTCCCGGAGCCTTGGGAACAAATCCCGGGGCTTTGGATCCATGCATTTCCCTTCCCTGTGAGATGACGCCTTTGGACTCCGCAGTAAATCTGAGCAAGCCTCCTGCAGGCCGCCATCTCCCACCGCCCACCCTGGCCAAGCCGACGTTTCTGGGGTGACTGCGCCACCTTGCGGTAGAAATTATATTGGTCGTTCAGGTGCCACATTTACGCAATACTGTGTGGCCTGTGACCGGCCAGGTCTTAACAACGCCAGCCTGTCCCAACTTCCCTTTCCTGAAGACAAACTTAAGCCAGAGTGGTTAGAGCCCCCCCCCCCGCCGTGTGGAGGGCCAGGGTTATGTGTCCCCTCCGCGCCCAGTTGTCCTAAACGCCCCCTAACCACTTCTCTTCCTGCCCCCAGGATGGCCACTCGAGGATACCCACAGAAAGGGTCACACGAGACCCACCCAGCGGGTCCCCAAGAGGTCTGCAGCTGCAGGTGCCTGACCAGCCTCGACCTCACGCGAAGGCGGCGGCGGCGGCGGCGGGGTCTCCTTTGCGACTCCGGCGGCAGCGCAGGCGGAGACTGCTCATCAAAAAGATGCCAGCCGCGGGGACCGCGCGAGGCAACGGCTCGTCTGAGACCTTTGTCCAGCCGAGACCCCACTCCACGGCCGGACGCTGGGTCAGCCTGCACCAGGGCCAGCAGGAGCGCAAGCGCGTGATGCGAGAGGCCTGTGCCAAGTACAGGGCCAGCAGCAGCCGCAAGGCCGTCACCCCGCGCCACGTGTCCCGCATCTTCGTGGAGGACCGCCACCGCGTGCTGTACTGCGAGGTTCCCAAGGCAGGGTGCTCCAACTGGAAGCGGGTGCTTATGGTGCTGGCGGGGCTGGCCTCCTCCACGGCGGACATCCAGCACAACACGGTCCACTACGGCAGCGCCCTCAAGCGCCTGGATACGTTCGACCGTCAGGGTATCGTGCGCCGACTCAGCACCTACACCAAGATGCTCTTCGTCCGGGAGCCCTTCGAGAGGCTGGTCTCTGCCTTCCGAGACAAGTTCGAGCACCCCAACAGCTACTATCACCCCGTCTTTGGCAAGGCCATCCTGGCCCGCTACCGCGCCAACGCGTCTCGGGAGGCGCTGCGCACCGGCTCCGGCGTGCAGTTCCCCGAGTTCATCCAGTACCTGCTGGATGTGCACCGGCCCGTGGGCATGGACATCCACTGGGATCATGTTAGCCGGCTGTGCAGCCCCTGCCTCATCGACTATGACTTCGTGGGCAAGTTCGAGAGCATGCAGGAGGACGCCGACTTCTTCCTGCATCTCATCCGCGCGCCTGGGAACCTGACCTTCCCGAGGTTCAAGGACAGGCACTCGCAGGAAGCCCGCACCACCTCGAGAATCACCCGGGAGTACTTCGCGCAGCTCTCCTCCCTGCAGAGGCAGCGCACCTACGACTTCTACTACATGGATTACCTAATGTTCAACTACTCCAAGCCTTTCTCGGACCTGTACTGAGGGGGTGAGGCCCGCTGCTGGCCGGGGCCGGGGGAGGGGGCTCTGTCTGCCCAATCACCTGCGCCGCCTGCCTCCGCGGAGGCTCCTCCCACCCGCTAGGAGCTGAGCTATTAGCGCGGGGAGCCTCGGAGGATGTGGCGTGTGGTTGGCCGTGACCCTAGGTGGGGGGACAGAGGCCCGGACATCGCACTGCCCCACGCCCGTTACTTCGCTGCCGAGGCTGAGCTTGCTGCCCAGTGATAAGTTGGACGCTGCAAGAGCTCGGCCAAGACGCTGACCAGGGAAGCCTGGGGAGGGGGGTCCCGGCGGTAGGGGATGCCCTCCATTCCCTTATCCTTTGCCTTGTACCACACCATGTGGTTTGCTGCTTTTCTATGACCCAGGGGAAGGTCTCAATAAAGCACAGTTTTCAAAGCAGTGACGTCCACTCCGTGAGGTCGCGGGGACCTCGCCCTACGCTTTGGGGAGTTTTAGAATTTTGCGTTTTCGGATTTGTTTTACTCCTGATCATACGTGAGCAGGTGCACAGGAGTGCAGGTGTCCGTGGAGGCCGGAGGCGTCGGATTCTCCCAAAGCTGGGGTTACAGGCAGTTGGGAGCCCCCTTGTAGACACTGGCGACGGAACTCCTGGTCTGAACTACAGGAGTGGCAGTAGCGTGAGCTCCTAACCGCTGAGCCAAGTTCCCACCTCCTGCTTTTGTTTTGTTGAAACAGGGTCTTGCCCTGTAGCTCTGGTTTGGGGGGGAGGGCATTGTTCCTTTCTTCCGGTCAGCAGGACCCCCTGCGGTCCCTCCTAGTGGAAAGCCCCTGTGGGAAAGACAGACCCATCCCCACTGAGGGAGTCGAACGCCCTGTGTCACACCCAGGCCCTCTGAGGACTGCTGGAATAGGAGCCATGTTCTCTGCCCGCTGCCAATGCCCGTGATTCTCATGGGAGGGAGTGACGCTGTCCCCAGCCTCCCCGATGGACGGACAGACGTCTGCTGACTGAAGCTATCATCCGCACATCCCTGACCCTGACCATGAGCCCCCCCCCACTCACCTGACCAAACGCTTCAAGAGTGGCAGATCACCTGTCCTTGAGGAACCAGCCTTGGGGAAGGGGAAGCAAAGCTACAGGGGAAAACACCCCTAACGCGTCCGGTTGCAAGCCAGAATGGATTCCGAAGTTGTCACAGGCCAGAGTGACACCAGAAGGGTCCCAGGGGAAGTACTGTTGGTGCTTTGCATGCGGTGGGGACTGTCCGTAGGAGAGGAAAGCACTTGGTTTTGTTTGTTTGTTTGTTTGTTTTGGTTGGTTGGTTGGTTTTTACGAGACAGGGTTTCTCTGTATTGTTTTGGAGGCTGTCGGTCCAGCCTGGCCTCGAACTCACAGAGATCCGCCTGCCTCTGCCTCCCGAGTGCTGGGATTAAAGGCGTGCGCCACCAACGCCCGTCGAGGAAAGCGCTTTGTATCCGACAGAGGCAGATGTCTTTGCCTGTATCCCCGGGCCTACCGGGAACCTCTGCCTGCCTCCTGGACCTGTGTGTGGGGCAATCTGCTGGTCCTCCTAAAGTCGTTCCCACTGGCGAGGTTGCTGCTGTTGGATCCCTAAGAAGAGACAGCACTGACACCCCAGGGCAAGAGATGGTGCCGGAATCCAGTTAGCCTGACTCACTGACTATAGCTAGTACATCTCCATTCTGCCTCCACTGTGGACTCTGGAATCTTCCATGATTGGAACAAGTAGCTGAGGCCGCATTCTATCCTGGAGCCCCGAGCAAGGGTGAGGCTGCCCTCTGGTTGCAGCTGGAGGTGACCATCTGATAGTGAGGGGCAGGGAGGAAGCTCAGATCACAGCCTGGGGGACTCGAGATTCATTTAAGGCAGGTGTCCAAAGGCTCGGAAAGCCAAGAAGGCTGTCCCTCTCCCTGAGAGGAGGCAAGAGAGGCCTGACTGACTCACTGAGGCCCAGCAATAGCAGGGCCTGCGCTCCAGCACTCACAAAGCGAAGCTGAATTCACAAAGCAGAAAGCATTGTCCCTGGGCGTGGGTGCATTTGGCAGAGCCCGGGGCGGAGTGTCAGGTATAGTCTGCAGCAAGAGGACACCTGGAGGCCGGGCTGGGCAGCTTGCCCTGTGGCTTGGTCTACTTCTGCTCAGGGCCAAGCAGGAAAGAGAGAGAGAGACAGAGACAGAGAGAGACAGAGACAGAGCGTCAGGGACAGGCTAAAGATAAAACACGTTTTGCCAGGCGTTGGTGGCGCACACCTTTAATCCCAGCACTTGGGAGGCAGAGGCAGGCGGATCTCTGTGAGTTCGAGGCCAGCCTGGTCTATAAGAGCTAGTTCCAGGACAGTCTCCAAAGCCACAGAGAAACCCTGTCTCAAAAAACCAAAAAAAAAAAAAAAAAAAAAAAAAAAAGAGTGAGTTCCGGGACAGCCTCCAAAACAATACAGAGAAAACAAAACAACACAAACAAACAAAAAAAAAGCTAGTTCCAGAACAGCCTCCAAAGCTGCAGAGAAACCCAAAAATAAAAACGTGTTTCAGGGTTATTTTTCAGGGGCACCCAGGCTTGAGCGGGGCAGATCTACATGCAATGTGTCTGTTACTGGTTATAAGGGAGGGGAAGAGGACACAGAGCTCTGACAATCGTAATCACCACCTTGATGGCCCCCAGCAAAGGACATCAGCTGCATGCCACAGGCCCAGCCCTGAGGCCCTGCCTGGAATTCACCGCAGTATCTCCAGCCTCACGGGCTTGGGACAGACGGTGCCCCACAGGAAAGAGAGCACATGCATTCATGTGTGTCATCTGTCTGTCTGGGGCTCTGTGTGGCTCCCTGTGGCTGGGTACCTTGTGTGGGTGGGACCGTGGGCAAACCTGCGCCCCCCTCCCTGGCAGCATTGTGTATTCATTACCCAGTCCTGTCCCGCGTGCCCACCATGCCCCCCGAAAAGGGTCTGCCTGACCAGAGACCTAGGAAGGGTCACTGGGGTCAAGAAAGCTCATCAAGTTTGGAGAGTCACTGCCAGTCTCTGGTGCCCCCCTCTAACGCGATCCATCCCACGGTGCCTCACTAGGACACACACACGCATGCGCACACCCACACGCACGATCCCCACCGCGTCTCTGGGTGGTTGAGCTTCCCTGGATATAGAAACCGTTGTCTGGAGAGTCAGCAGCAGCCACTGCAAAGCCCATGGTTGCTCCTTGGTCCTGAAAATAGAATCCAAGGCCCTCAAAAGAATCCCTCGGGGAGACAGAGGACATTCATAATCTAGACAGGTGGACCCAGCGAGCCGAGCAGGTAGGACAGGCGGCTTGACTGCCACCAACAGGGACATCATAGATGCAGAACCACTCCTGACCAGCAGGAGGGGCTAAGTCTTTGCTTCTAAACAGAGGCTTGTGCATCCCTAGTTTGACCACCAGGTGGCAGCAACGTCCCAGAGTTAGGTAGTGAACGGCTGGCCAGAAAGACTTGCACCTCCAGAGTCTGTACGGTGAGATTTTTGCCTCCACAGAGCCCCTGGGAAGACCCCGGAGGCTACTTTCAAATCCATCGGTTCCAAAAGAGCCTATCTCTCCCGATACCATGCTTCCCAGCACCTCAATTTCTCTCACCCCTCATATTGGCCCCAGATGAAGGTCACCAACCCTAGGCAGCGGAATGTTTTCCCGCCCATCCAAGTGGTACCCGGTATCCTCTGACCTCATTGGCAGCCTGCATAAAACACACACACACACACTCACACACACTCACACACACACACACATCCTCACTGACACAGCCGTCACGTACATGGACACGTGCTCATACAGTCATGAGCGTCACCTTTCCCTGTGTTTAAACAAACGGGTCTGCCCGGCGTTGGTGGTGCACGCCTTTAATCCCAGCACTTGGGAGGCAGAGGCAGGTGGATCTCTGTGAGTTCCAGGACAGCCTCCAAAACAATACAGAGAAACCCTGTCTCGAAAAACCAAAAATAAATAAATAAACAGACGGGTCCTATTTCCCTCCCAGCGCCCAGTGTTCTCCACCATCCATTCACCCGTCTCTCTGCCTCCTCCTTCTCCAAGACATAAGGACCCAAGCACTGTCCTTAAGTTTCCCATCAACAGAACACAAAACTAGAGTCACGCCATAAAACAAACCAACGAACCAACTAGGCATGGTGGTGCACGCCACGTAATCCCAGCACCTTACCCAGGAGGAAGGGCTCAGAAGAGTCTGATCATGAGTTTGAGACCGGCCAGGGCTGCCTGCCTAGTATGACCCTTCCTCAAACACAATACACGAGCCAGACAGTGGTTACACATGACTTTAATCGCAGGAGGCAGAGGCAGACAGATCTCCCTGAGGTCAAGGACAGCCTGGTCTCCAGAGCGAGTTCCAGGACAAGCCAGGGCTACACAGAGAAACCCTGTCTCAAAAAAAAACCTTAAATAAATAAATAAATAGATGTCTTCCTTTTCTAACTTCCCCACCAGAACTCACCCCACTGACTCTCCTCCTCCGCCTCCTCCTTCTCCCCCCTCCACCCCTCCCCACTATCACACCCCTCCCTCCCCTGTCTGACAGTCGATGTGGCTTCTTCCTCCGCCACCGCCGCTGCCGCCTCCAGTATTCTGAGTCCAGCAGCCAGCCAGTCACCTGCCTCGGAGGAGAGCTCACCACCCCTACGCGGGGCTCCCGATTTACACCACCCCTGACCTCAGCGACTCTCCGCCCAACCCCTCTCAGCCAAATGCCTGCCCCGCGTCTGCCTCAGTCTCCCGATTTGAGCCTCTCCTCCTCCACTCTGGGGGTCCTGCCTCCTAAGGGTGTCCTGAGTGCGCTCCCTTTCGCCCCTCTGTCTTCTCTGCCTTCTTGTTTGTGTCTTGAGGTAGTGCCTCGCACCATGGCCCAGGCTGGCCTTGGATGCACTAAGTAGCCCAGGCTGGCCTTGGATGCACTAAGTAGCCCAGGCTGGCCTTGGATGCACTTAGTAGCCCAGGCTGGCCTTGGATGCACTAAGTAGCCCAGGCGGGCCTTGGATGCACTTAGTAGCCCAGGCTGGCCTTGGATGCACTAAGTAGCCCAGGCTGGCCTTGGATGCACTTAGTAGCCCAGGCTGGCCTTGGATGCACTAAGTAGCCCAGGCTGGCCTTGGATGCACTAAGTAGCCCAGGCTGGCCTTGGATGCACTTAGTAGCCCAGGCTGGCCTTGGATGCACTTAGTAGCCCAGGCTGGCCTTGGATGCACTTAGTAGCCCAGGCTGGCCTTGGATGCACTTTGTAGCCCAGGCTGGCCAGGCTGACCACCCTCCTGCCTCCACCTCTGTGGCGCCGGCGTCAGGATCATGCACCACCGTAGGCCAACCAGGTCCTTTTCCAAACTATCTGAGCTGTAATCTACACCCACGCCATTGCCCTCTCTGGCCTTGGCTC